ACACCCTGTTCTGAACATTCAGTTCAGGAACTCTATACTCATTCATTAGGGTGGGAGCACTGTGAAGGAGGAGCACGTCTCGGCGACAATAGCTATGGCCACTGTCATGCACACTCTGGTCTGCCTTTCCTTAACCTTGAGGTTGTTTAGAAGCATGGCCAATACATTGTGAGGGCCAATGGCCTTTGGAATATAGCCAAATGTGTTGACTATGGCTCTATAAATAACTTTCTTTCGAGCTTTTAGGAGCTCTAAAAGCTCAAAGCAAATCCTTATCCACTCTTTCAGACACATATTCAGCTCTTCTGTCAGCAATATGTTCACCATGGTCAATAGATTTCTCTTGTACTTTCTCATGCCTGTTCTTCAAGATGGGAGTGAGTTGGGGCAGCAGATCCTTAATTGCCGGGGTCATCTTGCACATACCTATTACATTTATAATAGCCTTCAGGGCTCCAAGAATGTTGCCCAATACTTCGGGTTACTCTTCACCCAAATATTCATACAGCATGATACCCAAGTGCTCCATCAACTTTTTCTCCTGACAAGTCTTCATGACCACAGCAGTGCGAGAGATCAAGTCTGCTGCCTGCTGCCTGACTTTGGGGGGTTTGTTGTTTAAATGCCACAGAACTGTACCCGAGATCTGAGGCAAGTGTGGTTTGACTCGTTTCCCAAGTACATTGACCACTGTGCCAAAGACACCATCAATCAGTTGTTCTTCAAGTTTGTGATCAATATTGGCCACTCCCAGGTTGCCCCCCTCCTTTTTTTTTTTTTTTTTTAATGGCACCAGGGATTGAACTTAGGACCTTGCGCTTGCGAGGCAGGTGGTGGCACTACTGCACTAAATCCCTGGCCCTGCCCATAATTTTCTTAATTGTTTCCATCACCATTTTTTGGTACTGCTCAGCTTCATCTTTCAGATCGTCCACCATCCTGGATATGATTTTTGCTGCACCTACTTTGTTTACTGTTGGTAATTTCTTCTATCCAAAGCCATTCTGTGCTACCAGAAGTGCTTAAAAAAAGGAGGAAGAATCTCTGTTTTAATGTAGTTTGCTTCTACACCATCTGTTCCACATCACTGTTTTACCACCTTCAGCACGATTTTCTTCATTTCTTCATCAGGAGACTGGAATTCTCGAAAGTGGTTATATTAATTTACATTTCCACCAACAGTATAAAAGGGTCCTTCTCCTTGCCAGTATTTGCTTATCTTCAGTATTTTTGATGATAGCGATTCTGGCTATATCTGTAGCCCCTATTTTTTATTTTTTTATTTTTTGGTACCGGGGATCGAACTCAGGTCCTTGCGCTTGGGCAGCAGGCGGCGAAACCACTGAACTAAATTTCCAGCCCTACTTTTAATTTTTGAATCCTGTGCAATATCTTATTGAGTCCTAGTACCCCATAGCATTTGACAGAATGTAGTGTTCTAAAATAAAATCAATTTCTGAACAAATAGGTTATTTCTTAAAATTATGTAGCAAAATTATTGTACCTTTAAATAATTTAAATTTAATCCATGAAAAAAATCCATGTTAATGAAAATGGGGTTACATATCAATCTTAAATCCAACAAGTAAGATTTACATATTTATGTTGTTGAAGAGCAATATTCACCTTAGAAATATGGGCCCAGGATTTAGTTCAGTGACACTGTGCCTGCCTGGCAAGCGCAGGGTCCTGAGTTCAATCTCCAGTACTGGAGCGGGGTGGGGGAGGGGGGAGGATAATGAATGATGTGATTAAGTGTCATTAGTGTCTCTTATTTTTTCAAGAAACAAATCAGTACCTTAAATTATTTTTTGAAACAACAGAATAGATAATTTGGGGAGTTATTTCAACTTGTCCCCTTTTATCTTCTGTTTTGCTCTTTATTTGTATGTAAATACATGTATATTTTGACTTTCTCATATAAGAGAAACCATGTGATAGTTAAGCTTTTGTGCCTGATTTATTTCATTCAACATTGTATTCTCAAGTTGCATCCATTAACCTGGAGATGCCTCAAGTTTATTGCATGGTGTGGGGAAGTTGAGGAAGGAGAAAGCAAACAAAAATCAGGCAGGAGCATTCTGTATCAAAGGAAGAGATAGTGCAAAGGGCCTAAGATAGGAAAGAATTTAATTTTTTCACAAAGTAAAAATTTATTTAGGAAATATGCTCAGAAATGCTCTGCAGTGTAGTTTTACTATTTTTTTCGTCAGGGATCGAACTTGGGTCCTTGGGCTTGCGAGGCAAACGGCGTAACCAATGAGCTAAATCCCCGGTCCAGTTTTACATATTTTTTTAATTAAAAATACCATTGTTCATTTCATTCACCCAGATTCCTCAAGTTTTAATATTTTATTATATTCACCTTACCATTTTTTCCCTGAAATTTTTTATTGTAACTTACAGGCTTAATACCATCCCAATTTCAGACTATATATATCCTTTGAACAAAGATTTTCTAAGCTGGGGCTGGTAGCGCACACCAGTAATCCCTGCACTTGGGGAGGCTGAGGCAGGAGGATTGGCATGAGTTCGAGGCCACTTTGGTCTACATAGTGAGTTCGAGGCCATCCTGAACTACATAACAAGACCCTGTCTCCAAAAACCATCCCCCCAAAAAAGAGATATTCTATTATAGAACCATTATAATGATAAAATCAGGAAAATAGTACCCCCTTTTTTTTTGAGACTGTGTAGTCCGGGCTGGTCTTGAACTCACTTTGTAGCCTAGGCTGTCCTCAAACTTGCAGTGATCCTCCTGCCTCAGCCTCCTGAGTGCTGGGATTACAATTTTATACCACCATGCCTGCCCAGAATATACTACTATTGATGGCTCTAGACCTTTTTCAAATTTTGTTTATTATCCTGATTATGTTCTTTCAGGCATAAAGAAAATATTCGTTACCGGATCATATCTAGGACTGCACTCTGCATTTAGTTGCCATGTTTATTTAGTCTCTTGTCTGTGTCAGTTCAGCAGTGATTTGTCTGTTTCACATGGCTTTGGGAGTTTTCAAGAGTATTTATTTTGTAGAATGTTCTTCCATATCAGAGATACTTCCCTACAATTAGATTCAGGTTGTATTTTGGCAGGTATGTCACAAAGTGCTGGTAACTGTTCTCCACACATCATATTAGAAGGCATTAATACAAGTTTGTCTCATGCATTACTGATGGTAGTAACTTTAATGACTATGTTATAGAATGTGGTTTCTGCCCTGTTTCTCTTTTGTAAACTTACTACTTTTCCCTTCCACCTGTATAATATACTTTTTTAAAAAGTTAAATTTATTTTTAACTATGTATAAAAGCCTAAAATTAATATCCATTAATGGGGTGATGGTTTTTATAATGTATGTATTAGATAATGTTTATATCAAATTAAACGTATCTAAGTGCAGACATTTATCATTTCTGTATGGTAAAAACTTTGAAAATCTTTTGTTCTAATTTTTTATATATAGTTACCCTGCTAGACCTTTTTTGTTCTTTTGAAGTGGTGGGGTTGTTTGTTGGGCTTTTCTTTCTGGGTTTTTTTTTTTTCCGGGGGTACCAGGAATCAAACTCAGGACCTTCTGCTTGGGAGGCAGGTGGTGGAACCACTAAGCTAAATCCCCAGCCCCTCTTACTGGGTTTTTGAGACAGCGTCTCTCTGTGTAGTCCAAGCTGGCTGGCTTCAAAACTCATGGTGATCCTCCTGCCTCAGCCTTCTGAGTGCTAGAATTACAGGCGTGTGCCACATGCCTGCTGTAGACCTTTTTTTGAAACCAGATTTTCATTCACGAATATTTGAATCCATTAATACTTTTGTGAAATAACTACACATTTATCATCAGACCTCTTTCCTAAAGAAAAGCTAATATAGGGGATAGAAGAATAGTTTCTAAATTTTATTTAAAAAAAACTTTTATTAGTACATTTTTGCAGTATATAACGACTACATTTATCTTGAGGAGTTCGTACATGTACATAACACATTCTAAATTTTCCTTATTATTGAATCCCTGAGATATTTTGTTGTCGTCGTCATTAGATTTATGTAGGCTTCTTTGAATTTGGGGACCTTCCTTTTCCTGTAGCCCAGGGACATAGAGGCATAGCTTGCTTGCCTGACTCCTTGAGCTGCACCAGCCCCATAGATGCTCTGCTATTATACATGACCTGGGCAAATCTCTGGGCATAGGAAGAGCAACATCTGTTACTGAACCAGCTCTCAAAATTTAGGGAATTTCCACTGTTTGTGGTGGCTGTAATCCCGCTACTTGGGAGGCTGAGATAGGAGGATCACTGTGAGTTCAAGGCTAGCTTGAATTATAGTAAAACCCCGTCTCAAAAAACCTTACAAAAAAAAAAAATCAAAGAATTTTATCAATATAAAAAACTTCAGAGCTAGTCAGTGCCTTTTGAGTATTCATGCTACAGCCCGGAGTGTGTACATAGTTTCTGGCACAACTGGCTGTTAGCAAACCTTTTCTTCCTTCCTCTTAGGGATGAGGGGTAGGGATTGTTTTTTACCTTCTTAGATTAGACTCACTGAGCCTTTTTGATTCTCTTTAGATTGCACATTTTTGGGGTCAGGGAAATGTCTGCAGTTAGGATCTGCCTCACTGTAGATGGTTGGTTGTCTTTTGAGTTTTAGACTTTTTTTTTTTTTAAAGGGCGGTAAGTAACTTTTGTATTCTGGCTGTCATTAATTCTATTTTAAATTTTTTCAGGAACCACAAACACTGATTTCTTCTCCTTTTTCTCCTCTCTCCACTCTACCTGCTTCCCTCTTCCCTCCCTTTCTCCTGGAGTTAATAACAGGGTAGGTAGGTATGTCAGCAAGGGACCTGCAAATTCTATTACCTGATGAGGAATCCTAGTGCTATTAGAAATAATCATGATACTGTTTGTGTGATGAGTAGAGGATGAAGGGGTAGAACTGTGTAGAACATATGTAGTATTGTATACTAGTATTGTATATAGTATTGTATACTTTTTTGGTTTGTTTTTAAAAGGATTTGGACGAGGCAGAGGAAGAGGAGCAGGAAGATTCTCAGCCCAAAGCATGGGGTAAGTCACAGTCATCCTATTTTCATAGTTATTTCCTTCCGTATACTTCACTTTGTTACAGTTTCCCTTCTTCTGTTCTGTTCCCACTTTATTTATCTTGATGAATTAAGATGTTTTTTATACTTGAAGAGTTTTACTAACAAGTGAAAATAGTACAAATAAAATTGATTTTTCTTTCTTTTTTTTTTTTTTTTTGGTACTGGGGATTGAACTCAGGACCTTGCACTTTCGAGACAGGGAGTGGCACCACTGAACTAAATCCCTGGCCCCTAAAATTGATTTTTCAGTAGGCATTAGAGCATGGTTTCTAGCCTTGGCACTATTTACATTCTGGGTTGGATGAATATATTGTGGTGGTGGTTGTTCTGTACATTGTAGGATGTTTAGCAACAACCCTCTCCTCTCCTTACTAGATGGCAGTGGTACTCCTCCTGATGTGACAATCAAAATGTCTACAGACATTGCTACATGTTCCTGGGGTGTGGAGTGTGTATGTGTGTGTGCACGCACATGCTTGTGTGCATAATTTTTTACAACTAGTTGAAAGCTACTGCGTAAGAGCTGGTAAATCCAACATTTGTTTTTGAATGTTAAGTATGCACAATGCTTATTCATGTAAAAGTGTTACTTTTGTCCTGAATTATAACAGTAAAGAATGTGTAAACTAAATATGTGCTATAATTAATGGTTTATTATTATTTCTGTTGTTTTCTGTTCCATCTTGCTGCTTTGAAAACTTTAGCTCCTACTGGATTCTTAGAAAAAAATTGTTTTTAAAAATCTTATGGCCAGATGTAGTGTACACACATGCTATTCCAAGTATTCAGAAGGCAGGGGCAGGAGGATTGCAATTCTCAGACTAGCCTGGGCAACTTAGCAAGACACTGTCTCAAAATAGAAATTAAAAAGGGCTGAGGATGTAACTCAGTGGTAGAGCACCCCTGAGTTTGTTCTGTAGTGTTGCATATTAAAACAACAGCAACAACAACAAAAATCTTGCAGAAGCCCAATGTTGAAGGGAGGAGATTAGTGCCACAAAGAACCCTTTGACTTCATAGCCTTTAGGGAAGCACTCGTGGAAGCTGTGCAGTCTAGAGGAGATAGTGTCATCTGCCATTTCTGTTTTTCACCTGAGCTCTCTGAGGAAAAAGGAGGAATGAAAATACAGGGAGAAACCTCGGAAGATCAGTCAAATGTCTAAGGTTAATACTGTTAAACTATTTTGTAGATTTTTCAGTTTACTTCATATTTTGTGAAGAGTTTAGTTTGTATCTATTTCAGCCCACATGAGACCTTTGAATCATTCCTTATGGGTGTTCAGTTTAGGGTTTTAATGAAAGTAGAAAGGAATAGCTGGATATGGTAGCATGCTGAGTTAGGAGGATTGCTGTGAGTTCAAGGCCAGCCTGAACTACAAAGCAAGACTAACTCACAGAAAATAAAAAATAAAAGGGGGTATATTAGTACTCCCATTGTTGGGACAAAATACCCAACGCCCTCAAAAGAAAGTTATTTTGACTCATGGTTTCAGTAGATTCAGTCCATGGTTGACTGGCTCCACGGTGGAGGGACATGTTGAAAGGCCATGGCAGAACTGGCATGGTGGAAGGGCATGGCAGCCAGAAAGCTGAGATCAAAGGGAGGAGCCAGGGACAAGAATATACCATTCTGTGTCACGCCCCCAGTAACTCAACTCTTTGTGCCAGCCCCTAACAGCACATTCAGCTATGAACTCATCAGTGGATTAATCCACTAATGAGTGTAGCAGCCCCATGAGGCAATCACTTTTCAAAAGCCCTACAGCTCTGAACACAAGACTTCGGGGAGATGTTTTTCATTTATGCCATAATAAAGGGGTAAACAAAATATCTTAGCATCTATATCTATTTTTTGTATATATAAAGGATATAATTCTGTTATAAAACAATTTTTTTTTGAGACAAGGTCTTGCTGTGTAGTTCAGGCTGGCCTGGAACTCATTATATAGCCAAAACTACCCTTAAACTTGGAGCGACCTTCCTGCCTCAGCCTCCTGAGTGCTGGGATCACAGATGTGTGCCACCATGCCTGGTTGTAAAGCTTGGGTTCTGACTTGGGAAGAAAAGACTTGTTTACTAGCAGTGTCTTAGTATTCAATGGAACTTTCCATTAGTGCCCTATTTTGGCTTAAAAAGACTTCAGAACCGCAGGACTGCCTTAGGCTGCAGAGAACCACATTGTAAAGAAAATAAGGCCAAACATAGTGGATTATATAGAAGATCCCTAGGCCACCTCAGCTTTTTAGAAGCCATGCATGCCAATGGCTGAAACAGTAAGTTATAACGAAATAATGAAAGGAAGGGAGAAGCCTTTTACGATGGTTGTTAAAGGGACTAAGCTTGTTTGGTAGGGAAGATCATGTTCAGTTATGTGTGGCTGGCTTCATTTGCTTTTATTCTTTTTGTATTTCAAACTCTAGGACATTCAATCCTGCAGACTATTCAGATTCTACATCTACAGATGGATGTGGGACAAAACTAGTAGTTTGGGAAGCTGCTCAGAATGGTGCAGGTGAAGAATCTGGTAAGTACTATGTTTTTGTCGGAAAGGGGTTTTTCTTTTTCTTTTTCTTTTCCTTTCTTCTTGTCCCAAGGATCAAACCCAGGGTCTTGGGCATGCTAGTTAACTTGGTCTACCACAAAACTTTACCAGCAGTCCAGAGATGGGTTTTAAATATTGGAGGTATTAGGAGTCTTATGTCATCATGCAAAAATAAAGCCTAAATGTGCTGATGGACACTACTCATACTACTCTTAGTTGGTTCTTAAAGTCTCTCACTTAAACATACTTCATTGATGGCTGGGTATGATGGCACATGCCTGTAATTCCAACACTTGCGAGGCCAAGGGAAGAGTATCACCAAGTTGAGTTGGAGTGCAGCCTGGGATCTGTAATGACCTCCTCCTGTCTCATTGATGATGAAAAATTAGACTTTTCCTGTTATACTGTGAGAGACTGTATAATCTGCACAAATTAGTACAAAGCTGTACTGCTATTGCAGTGTGTCACAGATACTGTACATAGAATTCTTCTTTTTTGTACTGGGGATAGAATTCGGGACCTTGAGCTTGTGAGGCAGGTGGTGGAACCACTGAGCTAAATCCTCGGCCCTTCAGAATTTCTTACAAGACACTTTATTGAAAGTGCTTACCATTCTTATTGGTGGAGACCAAAATTTGGTCAGATAAAGATGATAGTATTAGGGCAGTATGCTTTTGCAAATTTTTCTATATTCTGCTGTTACCAGATTATTTTTGGAATTTCATTGGTAAATAATTTGTTAACATTTAATTACATAGAGCTCTGTAGAGGATTGATTCATGATAATATACATTAAATACTGAGGTTATATTTATAAAAATATAACACTTCAATGAAATATAAGCTAGGTGTGGTAATGCATGCCTATAATCCTAGCACTTGGGAGATTGAAGCTGGAAAATTATTGTGAGTTCGAGGCCAGCATGGATTACACAGTGGGTTCAAGACCACCCTGAGCTACATAGTGAAAGTGTCTCAAAAAATAAAATAAAATAAAATAAAATAAAATAAAAATGAAATATAACCCAACATGTAAAAATATAGCTCAATAAATTATCAAAAAGTGAACATCCATAACATAAACTCTGGCCCAAAAGTGAAACACAGCCACCATCCTAGAAGCACAATCAGTGAACTAGAAATAGATATACTGTAAGAGGATTAATAAAAATTATATATAATTATTTGAAAATACTAGTGAAATTGATGTTTCTTGTGAGACTCATAATTGAAAGTGAAGAAGCATAAATAATTGGTTTTAGGAAACCCAGTGTGATAGTGCATTGCTATAATCCCAGCATTCTGGGAGGCTGAGGCAGGAGACAAATTTGAGCCCAGTCTGGGCAATTTAGTGACTTAGTGAGTCCCTGTCTCAAAATAAAAATTCTTCTACCTGTCCCCAGAAAAAAAGCAATAAGGTGTGATAACAAATTTGAAATTAGAGCCTGATCTCATTCTTGTGAAAATCTTAAATTAAAATATTAGAAAATAGAATCCAGTAAGATACAATTATTATAGTACATCATGGCCATGTTAAATTTATTCTTTTTTTTAAACCAGAAATTGAACTCAGGGCTGCACAGTTGCTAGGCAGGTGCTGTGCCGCTGAACTACATCCCTGGCCAAATTTATTCTTAATATTCAAATTTGTTTAACCTTTAAAAATCTGTCAACTTGCAGACATAAACCCAAGAAAATGGAAGACATAAGTTCTATTAAAACCTTGTGTAGAACTGTTCATAGCAGTGCAGTTTGTAATTATCAAAAAGTAGGAGCAATCTATTGCCAGTTAGTGGATGAATTAATAATCAAAATGGAGGGGCTGGGGATTTAGCTCAGTGGTTCTGCTGTCTGCCTTGCAAGTGCAAGGTCTCAAGCTCAATCCCTGGTACCCCCCCACAAATCAAAATGGAGATTATTTATTTAATGGGATACTGTTTAGTCATAAAAAATGGAGGATCCATCCTACATCATGGATCAACCATGCATCAAATGTTATACTACATAAAATAACTTATTATCAGTTACAAAAGATGACATCTTTTGTATTTTGTGATTCATTGATTGTGAATGTCCAGATTCGGCAATTCCATAAGAACAGAAAATAGATTGGTAGCCATCTAGGATGGAAACAATGTGGTGGTAATGGAGAGAGACCTAATAATTGGTTTTGAGTTTATTTTAGGAGTGAGGAGAATGTTCTAGTGGTTGCAAATATTGTCAATATAATAAAAACTATTCAGTTTTATACTTTAAAAAGTGGGATTGGAGCTGGGCATGGCTCAAATACAGACCTGTACTCCCAGAGTTGAAGCCTAGGCTAGGCAATTTAGTGAGACCCTGCCTCAGAGTAAAAACTAAAAAAGAACTGGGGAGGGGGTGGGGATTTAGCTCAGTGGTTTCGCCACCTGTCTCGCAAGCGCAAGGACCCAAGTTTGATCCCCGGTACCAAAAATAAGTTAAACAAAAAGGAACTGGGGATATAGCTCAGTGTAGAGGCTCTGGATTCACTTCTCAGTACCATACAGACACACACACACACATTGGATTTGATGGTATACATTATATGTAAAAACATGTAACTATATTTTCTTGTCAGAACTAAGGAGAAAATTCATCTTATCATTTTAATAAGGAAAAGCATTTGGCAACATTAAATATCCGTTCATGACTTTTTTTAAAGCACTCATGATTTTTAAAACAGTAAAACCTGGCAGTTAGGAATACAAGGAAATTTTCTTAACTAGATAAAGCATAGCTACTAAACTTGATTATTTATTACAGTTAATAGAGTTATGTTGAATGTTTTTCTTCTAGAACAAGATAAAAGTTCTTGATCTCAGGTGGGTATGGTGGTGTCCATATACAATTCTAGCACTCTAGCTTGGCATCGTGGCACATGCTTGTAACCCCAGCTCTTGGGAGGCTGAGGCAGGAGGATTGCCAAGAGTTTGAGGTTAGCCTTTTTTTTTTTTTTTTTTGGTACTGGGGATCGAACTTGGGACCTTGCGCTTGCGAGGCAGGCAGCAGAACCACTGAGCTAAATCACTGGCTAGGCTGGACCCCTTAATTCCCAGGCCAGCTGGAACTACACAGCAAGACCCAGTCTCAAAAAAAAAATTATTATTCTAGCACTCTGGGAGGCTGAGGCAGGAGGATTAAAAGTTCAAATCCAGTCACAGTTTAGTGACTTACTGAGACCCTATCTTAAATACAAAATAAAAAGTGCTGGGGGCATAGTTCATTATGGAGGCCCTACGTTCAATCTCCAATATTAAAGGGGAAAAAGAAGTGCATTTTTTTTTTTTTGAAGTGCATGTTTTTACTGCTTTTGTTTGCCACTGTAGTGGAGCTCTGTCTTAGTTCCTTCCTTATTGCTGAGACAAAATACCCAACACCCACAAGTAAAGGAAGAAAAGTTTATTTTAACTCACAGTTTGTAGACATCTCAGTCCATTGTAGGCAGGCTCCAAGGCAGTATGGCATGGCAAAGGAGAAACAGTCCATGGCATTGTGGGCAGAAAGCAGCAAGCCTGCCTGCCTTTTTATTTTGTTTGTGTTTTGAGACAGGTTCTCACTATGTAGATCAGGCTGACTTTGAACTCAGAATGGAGCCCACCTTGAATTCATGGTGATCCTCCAGCCTCAGCCTCTTCTCAAGTGCTAGGATCCCAGGTGTGCACCACTTCACCCAGCCCTTCTGTCTTTCTGTATTCCATCCAGGCTATAAGTCTATTGGTTGGTGCCATCCCCTCCCAGATGGCACTTCTGTCTTCAGTAATCCTTTTACCCACAACTAAACCAGTCAATGGTCTGATCCAGTTATCACACGCCTATGTTCCAGCCACCTCTCAAAAGCCCCATCTATGCTTGCATGAGGCTTTGTGGAGACATGTAGCTATAAGCAATAACAGGTACTAACTGCAAAAATGGAGATGGGGAGAGAGGTCATAGGCCTTAAATTGGAGAAATGTCATTTCTTATGATGCTGTTAAAGAATCTATAGACGAATCATTAGAATTAATGATGGAGGTGAACAGGGTGTAAGGTACAAATTATCATAATAGATGTATTTCTATAAATCATAACAAACAAAATGGGAAAAAAAGTTGATAGTCATCCCATAAGACACCAAGTGAAACTGAATGAACCTGAATATATGTAGGATCAAGAGACTTCTGCCTAGAAAAAAATGTAAGACAGTATTAGTGAAATTAAACACAATAAATGAAGGGACTTTAGTTTTATTTTTTTATTTTTATTTTTTATTCTTTTTAAATTCTTTTATTCGTACACGTTAGGTATACAATATATTTACATTTATCATTGGGTGCTTGTACCTGTACATGATGTATGTTGGTTCTTATTTTTTTCCCCATTACCTGCGTGCCCTTCACCCCCTCCACCCTGTTTACATAGATTTCATTTTCATTTTTTTTCTTTTCTTATAGTTTTTCCTTTACCTTCTTTCCTTTCCCCTTCCCCTCCCACCACCCCTACACCTTTGGACCTTTTCCTATTTCAAATTATCAATTATTTTAATCATTTTAATCCTTATTTACACTTTCAGTTTCTCACAGTAGAGAAACTATTCGGTATTTACACACGTGTGTCCTATTTATTTCACTTAAGAGTATGGCCTCAATATGCATCCATTTAGGTATAAATGGAAGGGACTTTAGTTTTAATTTTTGAGGGCATTTCAGGGCCTTGCACATGCACATGCTAGTGAAGCACTCTACCACTGAGATACATCTTCAACCCTCATTTTTGTTTTTTATTTTGAGACAGAGTCTGGCCATGTTGCCCAAGTGGGACTTGTGCTTGTGATCTTCCTGCCTCAGCCTCCAAAGTGGTGGGAGTACAGGTGTGTGTACTGCCATTGGCTCTTCTCTTTTTTTTTTTTTTAATTTTTTAATTTTTTTTGGTATCGGGGGTCGAACTTGGGACCTTGCACTTGTGCGGCAGGTGCCGAAACCACTGAGCTAAGTCCCCGGCCCTTCTTCATTTCTACTTTTGAGAAAAGGTCTCACTAAGTTGATCAAGCAGGCCTTGAAATTTAGATCCTCTTGCCTCAGCATATGAAGTAGCTGGGATTACAGGCATGTTAAGTCTCTTTATTGTAAACTTTAGTGTTTTTGGTGCTGGGGATTGAACCCAGGGCCTTATGCATGATGTGGAAGGGTTCTACCACTGAGATGTTTCCTTAGCCCCTGAAAACTTTAGTCTAAATTGAGCCTATCTTTGAATTTAATAATTGTGAGTAATCTATCATGTGAAAGTTTTCTCCACTGATGTTTTTTAAAAAATTTATTGACATTAACTTATATATGATGGAATTTACCCTTTCTTAGGAGCACAGATATATGAGTTAAATGTATATAGAATTGTAACCACCAGACGCTGCACACCTGTAATCCCAGAGAATAAAACAGAGCTACCTGTGATAGGTGGCCACTAAACAAGTAACTCCTATGCTCTGTTTATCTATAATTAGTTCTGCATCAGTGGACCATATGGCTGCTACATTCTGGACCCCTCCTGAAACTCCAGGAGCTATTGTCCTTCTCCTTTTTTCCAATAAAAACTCTTCTAAGAGAGAGAGAGAGAAAGAGAAAGAGAGGAGAGAAATTAAGGGGCAAGCTATGGTCAGTGAGAAGATATTTACAAAGCCCATGCTTGACAAAGAACTTAGAAATAACTCAATTTGGTAAAAAGAACCCCCCCCCCCAAAAAAGTAAGAGTTAAAAATGTGCAAAAAGGGGGAAAAGTTTTGGAAATTGGTAGTGGTAATGGTTTCCAACATTGTGAATGTAGTTAGTGCCACTGAATTCTACACTTAAAGAAAGTTAAAATGGTAAATTTTATGTAACATACATTTTACCACAATAAGAAATGATATAGCTGGGGGATTTAGCTCAGTGGCACTGTGGCTGCCTTGCAATCCCAAGGTTCTGAGTTTGATCCTCGGTACTAAAAAAAAAAAAATTAAAAATAAAAAGAAATTATATAGAGCAGTGTATACACAATATGTATATATAGGTTTTCTGCTTTAATCTTGTTATATACTTAGGTGAGATGTTACCATTGTTAGAGACTGAGTAAAGAGTAACTTCCTGTGGATCTCTTATTATTTCAAAATTAAAAACTTAACAGAACAGCAAAAGATTTGACCTTGTGTTTCACAAAGGCAGATATATGGATGGTAAGTAAGCCTACAAAACTATATTCATCCTTAGTTATCAGGAAAACACAAAGAGTAAGTTACTATTATTCTTCTATTAAAATGGCTTTAAAAGAAATGCCAAGTTGCTAGTGAGGACGGTGAAATAACTGGAACTCTTATATATACATGCCTGAGGTGAAATGCACTTTCACCGTGCATCCTTATAATCCCGCTGCTAGGTTTTAACAGAGGTGGAATGAAAACACATATGTGATATTTATAGTGGCTTTAACCTCCACTAATTTGAAAGAATAAGGGGAGCCAGGTGCGGTGGTGCATGCCTATAATTCCAACACTCCAGAGGCTGAGGCAGGAGGATCACTGTGAATTGAAGTCCAGCGTGGGCTATGTAGTGAATTCAAGGTCAGTCTGAACTACTACATAGTGAGACTCTTTTAAAAAAAAAAAAAAAGAAGAATCAGGTATTGGAACAGAATGTTTAATTACTTAGTAGCTTAGCTATGCCCACTCATGCTTTTCCCCCTTTTCTTCTCTCCATTTGCTCCTCTTCCTTTCCCTCGATCTCATTAGAGTAGAAGATTTCTTGCTGAAAAACATGTAGATAAGCACTATGAGTTTGTTGTAAACACAGTTGAAGGGTATCATCAGTGGGTGGAGTACTGGCCTTTTCTCCAGGTGTCTCAAAGTAAATACTGTCTTGTTGATGAGACAGTTGAGATTGGCCCTTACTTAGTTCTATAGGCTCATAAATCAGACTTTTGACAGTATAATAGGAATCTTTTTTTTTTTTAAATAGGAATCTATTCTTGGCTATGAGGAAAACTCATGTTAACCAAGCTAGAAAAACTGGTATGTGGCCTCATTTATAAATGCTAGTATCTAAACTTGATAAAAAATAACACCTGTCAAAAAAACTGAAAAGCTCAAACAGGAAGGAAGCCTGGTTCATGTGGTCACTGAAAACGGTGATAGTTGATATAATTTGAATGTTCAGGAGACATCAGCACAAAGCTTAATTGGTTGAGTCACGGTGTCATATCACAGTATGGACTGCAGTACATTTTCTTCTCCTTGGACAATACAGTAGCACATACAGTATAGTAATGGTTCTGCCTTGTCCATGGGGGATATGCTCTAAAACCTCCAGTGAAGGCCTATCTGGGGATAGTACCAAATCTCCTCTCTTTCCCTCGTGTGTGTGTGTGTGTGTGTGTGTGTGTGTGTGTGTGTGTGTGTGTGTCTAGGTGTCTAGTTTTTTCTCATACATACCTATGATGAGATTTAATTTATAAATTAGATACAGTAAAAGATTAATAATGATAGCTAATAGAAGTTAATTTTTCATTAAAAAAAGTTATGTGAATGGGATTGTTCTGTTTGTCTGTGGAGTTTTCCATTTACTATTTTAGACCATAGAAATTGAAACCACAGATGAGGGTCTACTGTACTTAGTTTTGACACTTTCTCTTTCATGGGCTGATCAGTTGCTCTTATGATTACTTTCATTGTTTTGATATGTTAAAATTTTCCATTTTATATTGATCCACAGAACTGGCAACTCATGCTCACAACATAACCCAAGATTTGCCAAACAAAAGTTCTTATGGACTCAAAGGTATGAAATATTTTATTTTAAATTTACTTAGTTAAGAATCTTGCAGCCAGGTATGGTGGCACATGCCTCTAATCCCAGCACTCCAGAGGCTGAGGCAGGAGGCTTGCTGCAAATTCAAGGCCAACCTGGACTACATAGTTAGACCTTATCTCAAAACAAACAAAAGAATCTTACAGGTCTGGGGCTGTAACAGACTGAGACAATTTTTCTAGTATGTGTGAGGCCCTATTTTGATCCCCAGCACCACTAAAGACAAAACAGGGAAAATTTAAAGAGTCTTGTAAAATGTTCTCTCCTCTTCCTCCTTTTCCTTTCTTCTCTCCCTCTCTGCCTTCTTCTCTCATCTCTTGCTCTCCCTCTCTCCCTGATGCTGGGGATTTACCCCAGGGCTTATTTTTATCTCTTTATTGTGAGACAGCACCCTACAAATACCTCAGTTGCCCAGGCCCCAGGCGTGGGGTGGTGCATATGCTACAATGCCAGCACTCTGGAAATTTGAAGAAGGACCACACATTGGAGGCTAGGCTGGGCAATTTAGCTACTTGGTGAGAATTTGTCCCGAAATAAAAAAGGGCTGGGGATATAGGTCAGTGCAAAGGCTGTGTGTTCCATCCTTAGCATCACAAAAAAAGATTGGAGATTCTATATTAGTATTTAAAGTCATGTTGTAAAAGAATGTGAGTGAAGTATAGGTGGATAATTTACCTCAGATTCATTTAGCTTCATGGGACAGTATGTGTGCTAAGAGGCTTGTGTGGCACCAAGAGAACAAAGCATCCACTACTGATTTCCTACTGAGAATAGTTGCATTTTGTATTTTTCATTTAAACTATCACTTTTTAAAAATACCTTTAAGATATTCTTACTAGGAGTGTTGACGCATTCCTATAATCCCAGCACTGGGGAGGCTGAGGCAGGAGGATCACTGTGAGTTCAAGGCCAGCCTGAACTACATAATGAGAACCTGACTCAGAAAACCATAAGAAAAAGAGAGAGAGAGACCCTGTCTCAAAATTTTAAAAACTATGGAGGGTATAGGGGGTAGTGTGCAAAGCCCTGGGCTCAGTCTCCACCACTGCAAAAACAAAAAGCAAGAAAATATTTATTTATTTTTGGTGTTTTGAGACAGGGTCTTGCTGTGTAGTTCAGTGTGCCCTCAAACTTGGTGGTGGTCTTCCTGCCTCAGCCTCCCAAGTGCTGGGATTATAGGTGTGCAGCACCATGCCCAGCAAAAAAAAGAAACTATTTTAAAGAGATGTTGTGGGAGTACATAAATTCATTATTTGCTTTTGTTACTTCTGGAGAAACTACGGAAACCATTTAAAGGTCTGAGAAGTGAGCCAACAGAATGATCAGATTGTTAATTTAAATATTTGTCAGTATTAAACCTTATTAATGATTTCAGAATGTAAGCAGTCAAGAGCCACAGAAGAAGCAGGGAAAGGAAATGGGACCCACAGTTTTCCTTCCTGCAACACTGTGGTTCATAGCAGTACACGAGATTTCTTTTCTCCCTTCCACCCCATTTGTGATAATGGAGGTTGAACCCAGGGCCTTCACAGTGAGCTACAGCCCCAGCCCCTCCTTATTTTTATTTTCATTTTATTTAATTTCATAGTTCAGGCTGGCCTTGAACTCACAGTGATCCTCCTACCTCAGTCTCCCAAATGCTGGGATTATAGGCATGCACTACCACGCCCCACTTTTGAAAATCTTTTTACTTTGATGCAGTCTTCCTAAATTGTCCAGGTTGAGCTTTAACTTTTGATCCTTCTGGCTCAGACTCCCAGGGTACTAGGATTACAGGTGTGTGTCAGCACACTCAGCCAGTAGGTAAAGTTTCTAAATTACACACCAGGAAATGGTTTTGGTTTTGAATAATTTCCACTTTATATCCATAGAGTAGCACAGTTTTTGTACCATTTTATAAGAAACTGGGCTCCACAAAAGCATAAATTCTGTGCATGTTTGTTATAACCAATCCTCAGTCTGGTCTGTTAAAGGCATTCCACAGATTCGGGCTCTTTTTCTAGGAATCAGCAGTGATTTATAAGATTGGCTGTTAGGTTATTTGCATGATTTGGTGTAACTTAGACCTGGTCATCTGCTTTCATTTTTTTCCCCCTCAGTATTATTTCTCTCCTCCCCTTTCCCTTCCCCACATAGAAGCTTTTGATGAGAAAGGAGATTTTGGATGTCAGATGCTTAACTCCTTTATTCCCACAAAGGAACTGAAAACTTGGACTGTTCCACTCTCTGGGATGGTTATAGTTAGTATCTTGGTCATCCTTTGAATTATATTTTAATGCACAACTTTACCACTTCTCCAGACATACAGTAGGAGACTTGATGTGAGGAGGTGGAATAATGTTAATTGTGTTGTAGACCTATGAGGAAACCACTTAGTGGAGTAAATATTTTATAAGAAAATTGCTTCTCTAAATTGGATAATTCAGTAATCCATTTAAAGGTCTAGGGCAGATTTCTTTTAAAATTAACATATAGCATGAAGAATTGGCCCATTGTTAAATGCTTATTGGTAATGTGTTCATATTTTCTTACTCATGGCAGAATTACTTGGCTATTAACTTTGAGGTAAAATCAGTTTGAGGCATTGATTTGCTCTTATGTAAATAATACTGAGTTGCATCTAAAAAGAATTTATATATTTTATTATTGCATATTAAATAATATGGAATCTTTTGTAATAAGATGATATTTGACTTTCTGCTATAAACTTGGATTATGGTTTTGCCAACAGGTGCCTGGAAAAACTCTGTGGAGGAGTGGACAACAGAAGACTGGACTGAAGATGTAAGTGTGTTGTGTCAGATCAGATCCATTACTGTTTATTGGGGCCACCTGTGCTTGGGAGAAAGCCTGAGACACTTTCTCCTATCTATCCTCGCCAGGTTCTAGCCTGTTTACCTCAGACTTCTTATGTAAAGCTTTAAACTTATTCTCTTATTCCTTTTCATTTTATTTTGCCTTTTATTAAATTTGGAAGTTTCTTTAAGGCAAAAATGGATTCACTGGGACTCTTAAATGTTACCTTGGAACAGGGTGCAATCTAAGACCTTATTGAATCAGTAATTGATTTAGTACTTTTGTTGTCTGTGCTGGCTCTGCCTGCGTATTAATGTCTCAGGAAGTCTGAGTTTATAGTGTTTCAGAATTCTGCGATATTTAGGGTTAATAAGAATTAAGGAACCTTTGAATACTATTTTTATTAGTTTTCCTTGTTACTTCATTAGATTTTCTCTTTTCTAAGCCCACTCTTACATTGCAAATATAAAAAAGCCTATTTTTCATGAATGTCAAATGAGATTTTAAAACATTTATTCTGAGTGCCCTAAAATTGAGTTTAAAATACGCACAAATCCTGGGCCAGGAATTTAGCCCAGTGGCACCGAGCCTTCCTGGCAAGGGCAAGGTCCTCAGTTCGATTCCCAGTACCAAAAACCCAAACAAAACAAAGACAAACAAACAGAAATATGCACAAATCTCAAAATAATTATGCTGAGTGAAAAAAGCCAGGTAAAAGGATATATATTTTAAATTTTTTTCATCTAAGAAAAGAAAATATAAGGGAAAAAAAATGGAAACAAAGCTTTTGTAAATAAGGAGAGGACGAGGGGTTGAAAGGAGGGGAGGGTATTGGGGAAGAAAGAAAAATCAAGTTATATCATGTACCAGGGGCCAGGGATTTAGCTCAGTGGCATGGAGCCTGCCTTGCAAGCACAAGGTCCCAAGTTCGATCCCTGGTATCTCCCCCCCGCAAAATAATAATAATATAGCTGTAAACATTTGTGTAGAAGTTTTTTTTGTTGTTGTTGTTTTTTGTATTTTTTGTTTTTTTGGTACCGGGGATCAAACTCAGGACCTTGTGCTTGGACGGCAAGAGCCAGAACCACTGAACTAAATTCCCGGCCTGTAGAAGTTTTTTTTTGGACACTTTTTTTTCCATTTATCTTGGATATCTACCTTTAAGTGAAATTGCTAGTTCATATTGTAACTCTTTTCTTTTTGAGTGACTGCCAGATTTTTCCAAAGCAGCTGTACATTTACATTCTCACCAACATTGTACAAGGGCTCCATTTCCTTTATATCCTTATAGCACTTGTTACAGTGTTTTTTGTTTTTTGTTTTTTTAATCTAGCCATAGTGAGTGTGAAATAGCACCTGGTTGTGATACTGATTGCATTTTTTCTGAGGACTAATAATGTTAGGCCTCTTTACATCTGCTTATCAATCATTTGTATGTCTTCCTTATAGAAATATCTAATGAGATCCTTTGCCTTTTAAAACATTGAGTTGTATTTTTATTACTGAATTAGAAATGTTTTATATATTCCCTTATCAGATATGTAATTTGCAAATATTTTGTTTTCTGTAACTTGTCTCTCTCTCTCTCTTTTTTTGGTATTGGGGATTGAACTCGGGTCGTTGTGCTTGTGAGGCAGGTGGCAGAACCACTGAGCTAAATCCCCAGCCTTCCATTTTCTTGATTGTATCCTTAGAAGCACAAAAGTTTTAACTTCATTAAAGTCAATTTTATTAAAAAAATTTTCTTCATCTAAAATTCCATAAGCCAGGCATGGTGGCACATGCCTGTAATCCCAGCACTTGGGAGGCTGAGGCAGGAGGATTGCTGTGAGTTCAAGGCCAGCCTGGGCTACATAGTGAGTTCAAGACCAGCTTGAACTACACATTGAGACCCTGTCTCAAAAAAAAAAAATTGTAGAAAATGCATCCTAATGTATAGTGTTAAAAAGCATGTCAGAGCCAGGTGTAGTGGTACATGCCTATAATCTTAGCACTCTGGGAGGCTGAAGCAGAAGAATCAAAAATTCAAGCCCAGCCCGAGCATTTTAGTGTGTTAGCAAGACCCTGCCTCCAAATTTTTTTAAAAAGGTCAGGGGTGTAGCTCAGTGTGAAGGCCATGAATTCAATCCCAGTACCAAAAAAAGAAAGCCTAGCAAGTCAGTGATTGCCTGCAGATGCAAGCACGTGATGGGAGTGAGGAGTTGTAGGGGCAGCAGGAAACTTTTGAGAAATGAAAATGTTTATTATCTTGATTTTGGTGATGATTTCATGGAAGTCATACATATGCCAAAACTCATTTTTGAATATTTGGTCTATTGTATATGTTATACCTCAGTGAAATTAATTTTTCTTTAAAAAGGAAACCTGTGACTTAATGAAATTAATCAAATTAATCAAATACAAAATACATACTATTATCTTTTGGGAAAGAAAACATCAATTATTTCACTATTTCAAACTTCTCGGGGCCGGGGATTTAGCTCAGTGGTTCTGCTGCCTGCCTCGCAAGTGCAAGGTCCCGAGTTCGATCCCCAGTACCAAAAACAAACAAACTTCTCTACTCTTTCTTGTCTTCTTTTGTAACATTGACCTTTTTTGGTATTTATATTTTGTATAATAACCAATACAGTTGTGAGACTGGGATTTGATGTTAGTTTGACTTCATTTCAGTGTTATTTTCCATTTTTTTGTACCATTTCCCTGAAGTGAAGTCATTCTTGTAACGCTTATTGATTGAAAATTACCTTCACCTGAAGAAAATTGCTTGGCATAGTCCCTTGTTTATTTCATTTCCTTTAACCACTTACCAGTCCAATTATTTAAATACAGGATGACCAAAAATTGCATGTTTTATGCTAATTTTTATAAGATAGTTTAACAGGAAATATAAAAATGACAATTTAATCAAATTTATTCAGTACAAAAATTGACTGACACTCAGGATAGTCAGTATGTACACAAATGCATACTGCCCAAGTGATGCTCAGGGAAAACTGTTTGTGATTAAAATAGACTTTAGGTCAGTGGTGGAGAATCTATGGCATGTAGGCTTTAGCCTGCTGTTCATTATCATTGAAAGTGCTAAAGGTTCCCCACCACTGCTTTAGGTGTATTATAAGGAAGGACCAATTGGGCCGGGGATTTAGCTCAGTGGTTCTGCCACCTGCCTGGCAAGTGCAAGGTCTTGAGTTCGATCCCCGATACCAAAAAAAAAAGAAAGGACCAGTGGCTGAAAATTGTCAAGATTATTCAGTATACGGCCGGGGATTTAGCTCAGTGGTTTCGCCGCCTGCCTCGAAAGCGTAATGTCCCGAGTTTGATTCCCGGTTCCAAAAAAAACCAGAAAAGAATATTCAGTATATTTTTTGATTTTATGTTATATAGAACAAGATTAAAACAGTATTTTTTTCAAACTTAACCTACAGCTTTCTGAAACAAAAGTCTTCACTGCCTCATCTGTTCCAACAGAGAATGATGTCACACCTAGGCAAAGGTAAACACTTTTGGCCATCTTTTGTTTGTTATTCAAAGCATACTTGAAACCTTTGGCCTTAGGACACCTGTTTTCATTTTTGGATCTTTTTTACTTTTCTTCTTTTACTGAAAACTAACCTGGTGAATTAACAGCTCCAATTATTTCCTAATTGGTTGCATCCACTGATGAATTAAAAGAGCAGTGATTGTCAGCAATTGTGGCAGAAATTATGTTAACCCTATTTCATGGTTCTAATTTTGTATGTCTGTTGCTTTTTTGACAGAATATTACATTCCATCCTTTGTTTTCTTCATAGATAGTATTTCTTTAGATCTTCTCCAACCCCATACAAACTTCTCAATTTAGATGGATGCTACTAGTTTAATCTACTAGTTATAGAAAAGGAAGGAGTAATAACATTCTTACAATGTATACTGAACTGAATTCTTGAAGAACTTTATTTACATAGTTTTCACAATGATTCTAAACACTTTTGGAAGTGACTTCAAATTTCTGTGATGAGGAATGGTGAAAGGCTGATAGAAAAGCTTGATTGTATGCTATATGAGAATTATAAGCATTTATAATAGGAAAATAAAGAGGATTAGCAGTTATATCTCACAATAGTATATTGTTGCATGAATTGTTCAGAATTTCTTATTCAGTGCAAATAACATGTTTTTGTTTGTTTTTTTGTCTGCCCTATTTACGTTCCTTTGAAGGCACCACTGACAACACCCCCACAACCCCCATATCTGGTCTCCTGACTTGGGTAGGGCAGTAAACTCACAGTTCTTTTTATGTTTGTTTGTTTTTTTGAGACAGGATCTTGCTATGTAGTTCAGGCTGACAGTAGAACTCACTGTGTAGCCCAGGCTGTCCTTGAACTTATAGTTATTCTCCTCCCTCAGCCTCCCAAGTGCTTCGAACACAGGCATGTGCCACCAGGCCCAGCTTTTTTCTTTTTGAGACAGGGTCACACTGTGTAGTTCAGGCTGGCTTTGGACTCACTGTAGCACAGGCTGGCCTGAAACAATACTGCCTCAGCCTCCTGAGTGCTGGGGTTAAGGTGTGGGCTACCACACCCCGCTGTTGTATTATATTTTTGACTCAGTGATTTTCTAGGGTCATTTTCATTTTTTGAAATAATTTCAGAAAATTAAGTTTAATCACTCCAGGTTTTCCTATCAGTCATCATGTCATTTCTGTGAATACTTTTCAGTGCAGTTTTTTGTTTCTCTTTTCTTTAAAGCCATGCTTTCAACTTGACCTTAGAATCTTTAAAACTCCGTGTTCAAGCCAGGTGTGGTGTTGCACACTTGTAATTCCACCATTTGGGAGGTTGAGGCACTAGGATCGC